TGCACTCCACTCCAGCCTGGGCAACAGAGCAAAACTCTGTCTCCAAAAAAAAAAAGGTCGGGGTGGGGACCAGGACCATAAATACTCAAAGGAAAGATTTTGACTCCCCAAATTCAACTGAATGATGAATCCATTTTCATTTAACGGTACAAAACAACCTATGAACCTTTCAAATGTTTTTTTTTGGGAAACAATCTGCAAAGCTCATTATCAACATACTAATAATTAATTTTTAACCATACTACTCATTTTTATAAATGCCTCAGGATCTTAGAGTCTAAGTAAAGCTGAACCTAGAGCAGTATGAGGAGGAAACCACGGTATTTAAACGTTGCAAACAAAAGAACACATCTTCAGTGCCACCTTAAAGAAAGACAATAATGACACTTAAATCCAAGTCATTCTAACAAAAATGAGGTGAAAGGGTAGATAGAAGAGGTAATCTGATAGAGGAGAGATAACCACTCAGGAGGAATCAAGTGCAGATCCAAACCCTCTCTCGGAAACCAGCTACACAAACATGACAAAACACCACGTCCTCAGCCTCTGAGCCTAATTCTGCTTTAGAAAATAATTACAGTCATAAATAACTAGAAAGAATATACGTGATACAAAAGTAACGAGACCTCAAAATTACTAAGCTTCAGAATGGAAACAAAACAGGAGAGATAAAAAATATTGAAGGGTATGAAGGTAACTTCCTAGAAGGAGCATAAGAGGCAAGTATTGCAGAAAATACACATAAAATGATTACTTATGAAACAGAGTCTTACTCTGTTGCCCAGATTGGGATGATCATAGCTCACTGCAGCCTCAAGCTCCCTTCTGGGCTCAAGGGATCCCTCCACCTCAGCCTCATGAATAGTTGGAACTACAAGCAGTCACCACCATGCCTGGCTAACTTGTTTTGTTTTGTTTTGTAGAGACAGAGTCTAGTCATGTTGCCTAGGCCTGTCTCGAACGCCTGGCCTCAAGTGATCATCCTGCCTCAGCCTCCCAGAGTATTGAGATTACAGGTATAAGCCAGTGTACTTGGCCATAAAATGATGTTTAAACGAATTAAGGTACATAGGTAGAATCCTCTTTAAAATGCTTTTTTAAAATATCACCTTCACTGACAACAAATCTCAAACCTCTAAAACTGCCCTCTCCCAAAAGAAATTCACCTGCTGTCCTGCACACTCACCAGCAGTGGGAAGCAGAGAGCTGCTGCAGCTGTGAGCCAAGAGCCCACACAGGCCCTCTGTACCTCAGGCAAGTCAGCCCACCTGCCATGAGAACTCTCCACCATCTCAGGAACAAGCTTTCCCACTGGCACTCAAGCAGGGACCACATCCCCAGTTATAATCTGAGAAGCAGTACCTCATAAGAATAGTGTTAAACTACAAGGGACTGGTTACATAAATAATAGTTTACCTATATAAGATCATGCAACATTAGTAAAAAACTAAGTTCTTACAATGATTTTTAAAAAGGTATTTATATCCGGCCCGGCACAGTGGCTCACACCCATAATCCCAGCTCTCTGGGAGGCCAAGGTGGGCGGATCACAAGGTCAGGAATTCTAGACCAGCCTGACCAACATGGTGAAACCCCATCTCTACTAAAAATACAAAAATTAGCCAGGCGTGGTGACGTGCGCCTGTAATCCCAGCTACTTGGGAGACTGAGGCAGGAGAATCACTTGAACCCGGGAAGCGGAGGTTGCAGTGAGCTGAGATCTCACTACTGCACTCCAGCCTGAGCAACAGGGTGAGATTCTGTCTCCAAAAAAAAAAAAAAAAAAAAAAAGGATTTATATCATATAGTTAGGGAAAATATGGGGGCGGTGGAGGTCATTTAAAACAGAGTTAAAAAGAAAGTTCACATAAGACTTAATTATCAAAATGTACTAAAATGTGGTGCTTGCACAAGGAAAAATAGATCAACAAAACAAAAGAGAATAGATTAAAAGTCTATAAACAGGCCTAAGTGTATCTAGGAACTTGAAATATGATAAAGGGGCATTACAAATCATGAAGAAACAAATTCAATAAATGGTATTGGGACAATTAATTTAATATATGGGAAAAATTAGATCCCTACCTCACTCTATTCACAAAATTAAACTCGATATAGATTTACAGTCCTAAATATGAAGAAAACTTTAAACCCATTAGAAAAAACAGGACACAAGAAATATATAAATGCATATATATAAATATAATTCTAGTTATAGTCTAAAAACTCACACACATGCTCACAAAGGGATATGTGTGAAATTTTCAACATAGCATTATGAGTAACACAGCAAAAGAAAAATGTTTTGAAAGCACTCCAGATGTTCACTGGTAACAGAATACATAAATAATGTTGTGTAGTATTATATGAAAGAATATTAGAAATAATACAAAGCAGTTAAAATGAATAAACTGTGTTTATATTTATTAACATCGCTAGATCTCAATAATGGGCAAATGGCAAGTGTTACACAATAAATTTAAGCATAAGCAAAAGAATATTTATGTTGTTTTGGATAAATACACAATAGAACTATAAAAACACAGACTACATACATAGCAGATCTGTTATAGTGGCTGGCTCTTGAATGGAGGCAGAGGTAAAGGGAAGTAGGACTCAGAAGGGAATATTAGATCCCAGAACTTTGGGAGGCCGAGGCGGGCGGATCACGAGGTCAGGAGATGGAGACCATCCTGGCTAACATGGTGCAACCCCGTCTCTACTAAAAAATACAAAAAACTAGCCGGGCGAGGTGGCGGGTGCCTGTGGTCCCATCTACTCGGGAGGCTGAGGCAGGAGAATGGCGTAAACCCAGGAGGCGGAGCTTGCAGTGAGCCGAGATCTGGCCACTGCACTCCAGCCTGGGCGACAGAGCAAGATTCTGTCTCAAAAAAAAAAAAAAAAAAAAAGAAGGGAATATTAGAGACTTCAACATTAACTATAATGGTTGAAAAAAAGTTTTTTAATCTGAAGAACTAAAATATTAACATTTGCTTTAGGTGGCCTTATGTGGAGTTTTATTACATTATCCTCTATATTATTCTATAATTTGCTATTATGATGTATAATGCATAAAAAAGGGCTTAAAGAAAACAAAACAGTAAGAACATTCTACTCTGGGTAATGAAAACAAAGCTTTTTTTGGCTGCTGCTGTACTATTTTTCAATTTTTCATAACAGATATACATTAATTTTTAAATTGAGCAAAAATCACTTTCACCAGGAAAAACATATACAGGTAGTGATTAGATTCCACATAGTTCTGGTTCACATAAATATCTAGTTTTTTTTTGTTTTTTTTTTTTTTTTTTGAGACAGGGTTTCACTCTGTCACCCAGGCTAGAGGGCAAGTGGCATGAGCATGATCTCAGCTCACTGCAACCTCTCCCCTCCAGGCTCAAGCAATCTCCCCAACTCAGCCTCCCAAGTAGCTGGGACGACAGGTGCATGCCACCACACCCAGCTAATTTTTGTATTTTTTTGTAGAGATGGGGGTTTCACTATGTTGCCCACCCTGGTATCAAACTCCTGAGCTCAAGCAATCCAGCAGCCTCAGCCTTCCAAATTGAAGTATCCGATTTTTAAAGTTCTTGCAAACATGATATCTGCACTCTTGCTTCTCTGATAAAATATTCTTAAAGCTCTAAACAACTAAAATACAAACCCATTTTGGAGATCCTAAAATTTGGGGTAAAATATAAATGTCCCAATGGAGAAAACAAAACTTTCTTCTATAAACGATTCTAGTCTTTGAGAAAGGAAAAGGCAAGGGGTTCCACAGCTTTAGTCACAATCTATAATTGTACAGAAGTACACAGAATGCGTAAGAAGCAAGGCTAGGAGCAGTGGCTCACACCAGTAATCTCAGCACTTTGGGACATCAAAGCAGAGGACTGCTTGAAGCCAGGAGGAGTTCAAGACCAGCCAGGGCAACAACCTAGTAAGACCCTGTCTTTATTTTTTTTAAATAGATTAAATTTTTTAAAAAAGAAAGCATAAAAAACAAATCTGATGTGCATTCCTCTATGAGTTCTTATATCATCAAAATAAATATTTTATGAAAAGCATTTCAAATTGGCATTATAATGAGAAAGTTAAAAACCTAAATTGTATTCCGTTTCATTAGAAAACAATATTGAAATTTTTGTTATATGTAATGAATACTGGTCAAATAACCTCACCAAAGCTCAGTTTTCTCATCTGTAAAATGAGCATCCTACCAAGCCTATCACAAGGGGTAATAGGAAATCAAATACAATAAGTAACTTCAATCAGCAAAAAACTCACAGGTCCACTTTTTTGGAGTGCAGAGAAAGCAGTAAGTGCCAGGTCCTATGCCTAGCCATGGCTGCCATTAGTGGTAAAATTAAACTGAATATAGGAAGCTTCATTTGATCACCAAAAGAAAAAAGTAAATAGATTTAAAAGATAGCAACTATAATATAATAAAATTATATAAGAAAATAGCCCCTCTGGCCGGGCGTGGTGGCTCACGCCTGTAATCCCAGCACTTTGGAAGGCTGAGGCAGGCAGATCACAAGGTCAGAAGTTTGAGACCAGCCTGGCCAACATGGTGAAACCCCATCTCTACTAAAAATACAAAAATTAGCTGGGTGTGGTGGCACGTGCCTGTAATCCCAGCTACTAGGGAGGCTGAGGCACGAGAATCACTTGAACCCAGGAGGCAGAGGTTGCAGTGAGCTGAGATTGTGCCACTGCACTCCAGCCTGGCAAAAGAACAAGACTCCATCTCCAAATATAGAAAGAAAGGAAAACAAAAAAAACCAGCCCCTCTTTCTAATGAACAGACACAAAAAACTCTCAATGCACAGACGAGTGTTATCAGAACCCAGTTAACCAAGTAACCAAGCCAAATAAACCTAGCAGTCAGGAAGGCTAAGAGCCCAAAAGCTCCCAGTCTACAGGATTGCCACAATGGCTTTAAAATTAAACAAGTAACAGAAGGATAAATACCCACAAAATTTCAAACCATGTCTTACCAAGGTGATGTCTCGGGAAGCTGCAGCAGCACTCATATGCAAACTAGGCTGCCTCACAGAACTGCTGCAATCCAGGGCTCTAGCGAATGTCCCAACAGCACTGAATAAACCACAAACACAATAAGGAAGAATTAAGTATCTAGTTTTTTTTTTCTTTTAATGTTTTAAAAAACACATTTGGATCATGAATAAAAAACCGTAAAAGAAAAAGCAAAAACAGGTTTCTGAATGTTTGAGATTCAAACATCAAATAAAAAGAATTTTCACTCTATAAGATATTATAATTGACAAGCCAATTTACTATAAACAGGTCATTATCATGAAATCAAGAAAAAATAGCCTGTGCAGGGGGGGGAAAGAAGGAAAGGGAAGCTCTATTATAAAATGTCATGGAGTAAAACATTTGGTATTCAAATTGGCTCAAAAAATAGAAAGTCAGCTGCAGAGTTTGACTATTACAGCAAAGCAAGTTTTGACCATTTTTTAGCCCAAATTGTGAAACTCAGTAACATTTTTTTCCCCAATATATCACTAACTGTAGCAACCCTTTCCTGTGAGGGTTCAACATGAAACATATTTCTACTAATAACTCATTTAAAAAGAAATTGCCATAATGCTGATTTTAATGATTTAGAAGTCCTTCCAATATGTAAGAAACCTTAACTTTAAGACATACAGCATAAAATGAAGACTCACTACTTTTCCTGCCTGTGTTTTAAACATGTTTGCTATGGAAGAGATTTTTTATTTTTATTATTTTTATTTTTTGGGACAGGGTCTCACTCTGTCACCCAGGCTAGAGTGCAGTAGTGTGATCATAGCTCACTGTAGCCTCAACTTCCTGGGCTCAAACAATCTTCCCACCTCAGCCTCCCAAGTAGCTGGAACTACAGGCATGCACCACCATGCCCAACTTTTTTTTTTTTTTTTTGGCTAATTAAAAAAATTTGTTTGTAGTCAAGGCCTCCCTATGTTGGCCAGGCTGGTCTCAAACTCCTGGGCTCAAGTGATCCTCCTGCCTTGGCCTCCCAAAGTTTTGGGATTATAGGCATGAGCCATTGTGGTTGACCCCAAGGAAGATATTTTATAAATATTTTAACTAAAACACAACATTCATGTTGAAAAGTACACAATGTACAGATAGTTACTGTAAAGTGAACACATGCATGCTACCAACATACAGTTCAAGAAAGAACATGACCACAAACCAGAGGCTCCTCAAGCTCCTCTCCACAGGGAACCACCACCCTGGATTGTAGCACCACAGATTAGTTTTGCTCAAACAGAATCACACAGCTGGACTTTATGTCCAGCTTCTTTCGATTAAAACTATGTTTGTGGATTCATCCATGTTGCTAGCTACAGGTATATTCACTCATTTTCCCTGCTATGCAACATTCTGTTGTACGATGTCTCATCCCCACCTCCACTCTACTGCTGACAGACATTCTGTGTTGTTTCCAGTTTGGGGTTACTATGAATAGCGCCATAAATCCATTTGTATACGTGATCTTTTGGTGCAAAGGTGTATGCATTTCTGCTGCATAGATATTTAGGAGTGAAACTTAAGAGATATGTGTGTTAGATGACAGCAAACAATATTCCAAAGGACCTGTACCAATGTACACCCCCACCAGCAGGATACGAGAGTATTGGTTCTAAATCTTGATCAATGCTTAGCACTGTCAGTCTTTAAAATCTGAACCATTCTGGGTTGGCAGTGGTACTTGACTGTGGTCTTAATTTGTATTTAGAAGATCTTTTTTTTTTTTTCTTTTGACACAAAGTCTTGCTCTGTTGCCCAGGGTGGAGTGCAATGGTGCTATCTCGGCTCACTGCAACCTCCGCCTCGCAGGTTCAAGCGATTCTCCCACCTCCATCTCCCAAGTAGCTGGGATTACAGGCACCCACCATCATGCCCAGCTAATTTTTTTTCTATTTTTGTGGAGACGAGGTTTCACCATGTTGGCCAGGCTAGTCTTGAACTCCTGACCTAAGGTGATCCACCTGCCTTGGCCTCCCAAAGTAGTGAGATTACAGGCGGCATGAGCCACTGTGCCCAGCCTTTTTTTTTTTTTTTTAAAGAGAAGAGGTCTTACTATATTGCCCAGGTCGGTCTCAAACTCCTGGACTCAAACAATCCTCCTGCCTTGGCCTCCCGAAGTGCTGGGGTTACATGCATGAGCCACCATTCCCAGCCTAGAAGATTATTTTTTAAAACAAATATTGAAAACAAAAACATACTAGGAACCAACTCCTTAGTGTCCTTCATGCTGGCTTTGGGGGGAAACATATGGCCCTTGGCAGTCAGAAAAATGAAAAAACAGAATACAAATCAAATTTGAAAACAGCAATGTCTCCTAACCAATCCCCAATCTAGACAGCCTGTCTGGAGACTCTAGACCAGTATTGTGTACTCTACAAGGGGCCACAAGATTGGCCCCCTTCGCAATGCACATCAAGTGTCTCCATCCAATCGCTTAGTAGTTAGGTGGTGGGCTCTGGACTCCAAATGCCTGGCCACCAATAAAAAGTGTGACCGTCCATGGTGACTGGCTCTATGAACAGTGAAGTCTAAGGATGAGCCAAGACTATTTTTCCCTCTGTATTGTGAAATAAGTTCAAAACAAAATCAGACAATAACATAATGAAGACCCTTGCATCCACTGTCCAGATCTAACTCTTATTAATATTTTGCCATATTTCTTCATTCTTTTAAAAAATAATTATAAATTTGTTAGAGTTCCCTATATATACTCCCAGATCAAATATATATAATATATATATACCCATTTAATGTATTTAAAAATCCACTAATAAAGCATTGTTTTGTACACAGCAAACATTTTATAAATAATTACTCTGTATGCACATAAATGATCACATGGTATATACCCTCATCATTATTTGTGATGTTTATCGCTTTGCTACATATAGCTTTAATTCATTCAATTGCCATAAAGTAATATTTCACTATATAAGTATACCTCAGTTCATTCACCAATTGCTTGGTAATGTACTTTTACTGTTATCATTTTTAAAATAAAAACAAAATTCTGTCCCATTCATTCTCTTAAGAAAAGGGAAAGAAGGAAGGAAGCAAGCCAGCCAGGCAGCCAGGCTGAAAGCTCTCAAGGGAAAGCGCTATGCTTAGCAACAGACCCTACTCACACATGGATGCGGTGAGCGAATTCCAGGTGCACATTCTTATTGATACCTGAATAATCCATGTCCAGAGTAAAGCCATGTCAAGTAAAAAGGATGACTCTTTTCATTAAGGATATGGGACTTCAGGTATTTTCTTCAGGTATAAAGAATCTTTTTATACTTTTCTGTTTTCTTAATCAGTAAAAATTAATACAACTATTTTCACTTAAAACAGAAACTAATAAATTTAGGAAGCAGTATAATTAAGCTTTCTTACATAACTAAAAAATAATTCAATCAGTGGGGGGAAACCAGAATACAAAGAAATAAAAATACATATACCTATAAATTCTTTTATATAAAGAAATTTCTTGACTTGATAATGCCATACTTGTACTCACCGTGCTACAACTAAAAACTGGTCAATCTGTCGATCCGTAAGTGGGCTATTTGGATCCCAAACTTTAACTTCCAATTTTGACTGTTCCCTCTCATCTGATTCTCCTGTCCAAAAATAAATAAAACGGAGTCTTGTTACTGACAAGGCGCACTGTCTCATACCACTGATGACAACGGTCACCATAGCATTAGAAATGTTTACATGTAAGGTAAGTGCCCATAGTTTTGGCACATTCTTTCAGACGCAGATGTACAACACCTCATTAAAGTGAACACTGACGATAATAACACCAAACTAACCGAATGGTATCTTCATTTAGTCCTTAACGTCTGTTTCTGGAGTACCTGTATGCGAGAGGCAGTAAGCGCCATGCTAAGAGACATAAAGATGAAAAAGCAACAGGCTGGGTGCGGTGGCTTGCACCTGTAATCGCGGCTCTTTGGGAGGCCGAGGCGGCCAGATCACCTGAGGCCAGAGGTTTGAAACAAGCCTGGTCAATATGGAGAAATCCTGTATCTACTAAAAATATAAAAACTAGCTGGGAGTGGTAGCAGGTGCCTGTAATCCCAGCTACTCGGGAGGTTGAGGCACAAGAATCGCTTGAACCCAGAAGGCAGAGGTTGCAGTGAGCTGAGACTGCGCCACTGTACTCCAGCCTGGGCGACAGAGTAAGACTCTGTCTCCAAAAAAAAAAGGAAAAAAGAAAGAAAGAAAGCATCACTTCCACAAGATGCTTAAGCTATGCATAAATACCTGTGATATAAACCAAATAAATAGCATAAGAGTGACATATTAATAGTTAATAGCATAAGAATCTGAAGAATAGAGAAATCATTTCAAGCGAGGTAAGAAACAATGTCATGAAGGAGATGGCATTTCACCTAAGAACTAAAGGGTATGAATGCACCAGCAGGGGAAGATTTTTTAAAAAAGAAATGAGAACATGAACAAAGTCATGGGGCATTAAAATGTCACAGAAAAGTAGCTCATAATGTCTGGAGTACTTTATGGAATGAGAGAAGATAGCTAAGAGAAGTGGGTTATGAACACATTACTGGAGATCCTACATAGATGTTTTTTGAAGAGATTTTATATTAGAAGCCCTTGATTTTTCCGGTAAGGGAGTGACAAGAGCAGAACCAAACTTCCACTTTCAAAGCATAATTTCCTCTGCAGAGATACCTGATAAAGACAGAGAGACATATCAGCCTCCTTCAAGAGTTCCCTCACAAGTAGTGAGGGGTTTTGGTTATGAGACTGGTAATAGAGCACAAAGAGAGGAGATTTGGGAATATCAGTGACAGACTGGATGTAGAGTGCAGATTTCAAGTTTTGTGAGCTGTACTCATAGCGTTGGCAATAGCAGAAAGAAGGAGGCTGGGCATGGTGGCTCACACCTATAATCCCAGCACTTTGGGAAGCTGGGGAGGGAGGATTACTTGAGCCCAAAAGTTCAAGACCAACCTTAGCAACACAGTGAGACCCCATCTCTACAAAAAATAAATAAAATTAGCCATGCGTCGTGGCACACGCCTATAGTCCTAGCTACTTAGGAAGCTAAGGTGGAAAGGCTGCTTCAGCCCAGGAGGTCAAAGCTGTAGTGAGCCATAATCACACCACTGCATTCCAGCCTGGGTGTCTCAAAACAAAACAAAACAAAACAAAAAAAGATACACAAACAGGAGGTTAGGGTCAAGAGAAGACTGACAATAATGCCGAATGCTTTGCTTTAGAATATCTCACAAACAGATAACTATTGAACAAGAGTCAATGTTAGGACAAATGATTGTAATGAAAAGTAGACTTGGGAGCCAATGGAATTTTTATTTATAGCTATGGATTCTTACTAGAATAAGAGCTCTTTAATGATAGCGACTGCTTTTGCCTTTGTTTTGCTTTTAATCACTGCATCTATAACATTAGGCCTTGCAGCGGCTAACATAATACTCTGAAGCCAAACATTCCCCAGTGACTGACAAACTCAGGCTATGGGCCACCTAGTATAGGAGCAAGCAGATATCAATGGAAAGGACAGGACAGAAGCAGGCGTTCCATCTGCAGCCTCTTAAGTCAGGCCACTGCTGTTAGGTTGAAGACCTGCCCATTTGTCTCTGGTCAAAAGGCAAGTAACCAGAGAGCCAACTGCCAACCCCAATATAAAATGACATAAACAGAGCAGAGCAGAGCCAGTACTAGGTCAAAAACATCTAAGGTTTAAAAGGACTTCATTCTTTGTTTTGTTTACAATTCTTAGCATGCTAAGACAAGACACTCAACATTAGGGTCATTTTCAAAGACCAGTTAAAGATCAAAAAGTTGCAGGCCGGGCACAGTGGCTCACGCCTGTAATCCCAGCACTTTGGGAGGCCGAGGCGGGAGGATCACGAGGTCAGGAGATCGAGACCACCCTGGCTAACACGGTGAAACCCCGTCTCTACTAAAAATACAAAAAATTAGCCGGGTGTGGTGGCGGGCGCCTGTAGTCCCCAGCTACTCGGGAGGCTGAGGCAGGAGAATGGCGTGAACCCAGGAGGCGGAGCTTGCAGTGAGCCGAGATTGCGCCTCTGCACTCCAGTCTGGGTGACAGAGCGAGACTTCCGTCCCCCGTCCCAAAAAAAAAAAAAAAAAAAATCAAAAAGTTGCAAGCCACATGAAACTTGAGAATGGAGAATGACACAATTAACCTGCCCATGTCTTTTAAAAAATAATTTAAATAAGGATAGATAGTAGTGGTAAAACATTTGACATCTACATCTTAAATAACACACAAGAAATGATGTTGCTATTCAGTTTTAAGCCCCTTCTGTTGTATACTCCCGAACGTAAGACTAAAATTGATGTTTATTTTTCAAATTCAAGTCAGTCAAATTGATAAATTTTAATTCCACCCATACAGTCTGCAGCATACAGCAAAAGTAAGACTTAGAAGAATTCTAAATAAATTCACTGTAAACAATAAAACTCTCTTGAAAGCATTTATACTAACACCAAAAACATAAAACCATGGGCTGAGAAAAAAAATAGCAAGAAGAACAAAAAATAAATACAGAAATTCTCTATATCAAACGATCATTTCAAACTAAGAGGAGATTCCCATTTTGAATAGACCAAATAATTACATTCATATCAGTTTGATCACTTCTTCACATGGAAAAAACTTTTTAAAAGCTCTTGAATTAACTTATTTAGAATTTTATAATTAAATTTTTTTCAGCTACGCTAGCAGCAGCCTTTGGAATGGCCCTGGTTACAATGGAATGAGCCAAAAACTGAACTAAGATTAATTCCATGTTAATGCTCATTCCAGTCTTTATAATAATCTCCCCTTCCTCCTCCACGTATGATAATCTGGGCAATTCCAATCTGCTCACGTGTCATATCATCAAAAAACACAGACCATGACGATCTCCCCTAACCTCTAAATTCCTACAACTGTATTTCCCAACTAAATGTGTGATTGTATACAGCTTCCTATTTTTGCTTCATTTAATTTTGAAGAAATGTAGACCCAGCAACTATTTTAAATGTTAGCCCTAACCTTCCAGTTATATTTTTAAATCTCTAGAAAATACTGACAAAGTACTTCTTAAGAATTTTGAGGCCGGGCGCGGTGGCTCACGCCTGTAATCCCAGCACTTTGGGAGGCCGAGGTGGGCAGATCACGAGGTCAGGAGATCGAGACCATCCTGGCTAACACGGTGAAACCCCGTTTCCACTAAAAAATACGAAAAACTAGCCGGGCGAGGTGGCGGGCGCCTGTAGTCCCAGCTACTCCGAAGGCTGAGGCAGAAGAATGGCATGAACCCGGGAAGCAGAGCTTGCCGTGAGCCGAGATCGCGCCACGGTACTCCAGCCTGTGCGACAGAGTGAGACTCCATCTCAAAAAAAAAAAAGAATTTTGAGCACAGAGTGTTGTTCAAATACTCTGAAGAACTAAGGATTCCGAAAGGTCCTTTCCTAGGCAATTTGAAACATTCTTTGTTCCAAATACAGTGCGTTTTCTTTGCACCAGCCATCAGAGTACTGTGCTTTTTATATGTAATTCAGAAACACTCAAGGATGTCTTTTATCACCATTTTTGCTCAATCTTGTTCTGAAAGTTCTGGGCAACATATTAAGTTATGAATCAAAAGAATAATAAGTTACTATAACTTTTAAAAATTATAACTTTTAAAAATTATATTGACAATAAATTATATTGTTAAAACATTCATTTTGACAATAAAAATATAAAACACTGGGAAATAAAATTGGAGATTTTATATAAAGAAATTTCAAAATTTTCAAAAGAAGATGAGATGATTGAGTAAATAAAAAAGCAAGGCCAGGGTGCAGTGGCTCACATCTGTAATCCCAGCACTTTGGGAGGCCAAGGTAGGAGGACCATTTGAGGCCAGGAGTTTAAGAGCACACTGGTCAATATAGGGAGTCCCAGTTTCTACTTCTAAAATAAAAATCAAGAAGTGAGGTGAAACCAGAATATTTCACCTCAAAATATACTTCTTCGGCATATTTCTAGATGGCTATTCTGAGATCAATAAACACAACAAGAGTAGCCAGCCCTGAAAGGCTGCCTTTTATGGGGGGAGATCTGCATACGTAGAGGAAATCTACATTAGTGAAGTAAACCGCAAATGCAAACAGGATTTCTCTGAGACCCCTTTAAATGAATCTAAGACAGACTAACTTACAGGAAAAAGAGACCAAAGGTCTGACATAGACACTTCACCCCAAGCTACACCTTTCTGAGAGCAGCTTGGAGATTACCTCGGAGGTTCATCCACATAACAAGGCAGCCATGCAGCCTTTGCTAGCCCTGCTCTCCCGTAACCTGTGTCACTACCTCCCCTCACTCTATTCTGTTTTTTTTTTTCTTCTTGTTGCCCACACTGGAGTGCAATGCTGCGATCTCGGCTCACTGCAACCTCCACCTCCCGGGTTCAAGCCACTCTCCTGCCTCAGTCTCCCGAAGTAGCTGGGATTACAGGTGCCCACCACCACGACCAGCTAAATTTTTTGTATTTTCAGTTGAGACAGGGTTTCACCATGTTGGCCAGGCTGGTCTTGAACTCCTGACCTCGGGTGATCCACCTGCCTCAGCCTC